ACAATTGGAAAAGTACCTACCAAGACTATAATCTCTTTACACAACTTATATGCAGCAAAGACTATTAGTTTATGGATACTTCATGTAACATGTAGATTGCCGATAAGGGTGCAATCATTCTACGATAAAAGGACTAATTTAGGGAATATACCATGAAAAAAATAATTGTTTTAAATGCCCATTTGAACAACATAATTCACTGAAGAACATAACAGTGCACTTGAAAAAAAATTTAACAAATCTGGTAACCGTTAACTTTTACAACAATTTCAATATAAATGTACCATTGTTTTTTTTAAGGTATTAATATTACGGAAGTTAATATTTGAACAGACCTTATTATTTTTTCAATGAAGCTGAATTTAACCATTTTTTCGTTTTCTGATGTTCAGTATAGAACGCTGAAGTATGATTTTTGAAGTCTTGCATGAATACCAAAATATCGTTACGGAAGTTAATCGCAATATAAGTTAAATTTCAGCAACAAAAATTTAAATTCTCGGCAATAGATAAAATTATAGTTTGTACTCAGTTGTTTACCGAAAGTATGAAGTATTTTGCTCCCAGAGTAATTATACGCTTATAACCTTTAATGCAAAATCATTCCTGAACTACCGTTACGGAATTATTTTTTTTAAGAATGGCAACTGTTTTTGTCTAATTCATTCTGTTGAGTCGAAAATGTACTGGTCTTAAGTGCCTGATGACTGTCAACTAGAATCAATGATATAAAGTTCCATGGTCATTTTCAGTTAAATTTCGGTTCTTTCTGAAATCTGCATTCTGTTCGTGCAATTAAAAAAAATCCTTATGGAAGTTAATGAATTTTTGCGACATGCTATGATTTCGTATAAAAGAAGATCCATATATTTCTTCGCGAGAAGTGGTTTGTTTTCTTTTTATATAGGAAAAAACTCCATGCAACCTATTCAGAACGCTTATACAGCTGAATATTTTATCTTGAATTTTTTAATGAGTGAAACGACATTAAGATTTGCAGTGTAATACGTATGTAAACATTATAATGTGCTTATATCAAAACTTTAATTGCATTAAATATTTCGAAAACCATGTGTGTATGTTAAGTACTAGACTTTAAATTGATCTTTAAACTTATAGTTTAGATAATACAATGGTAGATTTGTATTGTAAGCGACATGAAAAAATTCTCAGTCGGGCATGATTTTGAAGAATGACTGTGCGGGCGTGACCATGGGTCATAAATTTGAAACAGTTTACACAAATAATGCATCAATACTATCAAATCACCCATGCCTTGCATGCATTCTAACGTACATTTACCGTCACCTAATCATGGTATTGCTTTGATGAGAAGCTGAATTCTTATTATTAGTCAAGAAATGACCATATATATATATATATATATATATATATATATATATATATATATATATATATATATATATATATCCTAAATAAATGTACACTACACATTTTCTATTTTTTCTTGGCAAATGGATGAAAATTGGAAGGACTATATTTCGAATGTTACACATAATATTTAATCACTACGTTAAAGGGGTCGTAGTAGAGTCATAGTTATGATGTCATAGTTCAAACTGAAAAAAGGGATGTCTAAGCACAGGATAATGTTACGGGAATGATGTCGTATGTGAATGTTATAAAACAAAAACAGAATGCTTGTATATATCAAATGGGATATGTTTACAGGCATTGTATATTTTCATTATATAATTGTTCTCTATAGATCGATATCTTTCTCTTTTTTCAAATAAAAAATAGTTTTTTTCAACTAAACTACTGACTTTTGTGAATTTTTTTCCGGTAATGTTAATTATTAAAGTATTTGCTTATCAAAATATATTTACTATTTAACAAATATACTTTTGCAATCACTTCTCTACACTAAATGTGATTTTAATAATTTGACATGAAAACGTCAAAATCATCAGAAGTTCTAAAATCACATTACTATTCGAACTCAAATTGTTCTTTTTATTTTTGTGACATTGTATATGAAACATGATTTTATTATGCAATTTATAATCAAATGTCTATGGCAGGGTAAAGTATTCACAATCTGTAAAATAGAATATCTAATTAAAGAAACCAAAAATACGTCTTGTGATCTGATTTCAATTTGGTCGGAGACTCTCTAAATATTTATCATCAGTATTTAAGGAATCATATGTTGATTAATATTATTAATAACATTCTTTCAAAAGTCTGGTTCGGAATTTTCTTTCTTTTTTAGCTCTATATCACTACCAATGACTATTGCGTCCTGCAAAACAAAAAAAAAAAAACAAAAAAAAAAAAAAAAAACAAAAAAAAAAAACGAATTATCTATCATGATGATAAGACAATGAGAGAAATTAATTTTGATGACACTAAATTAAACTATTCTCATAAAAACTACTATAGTATCTCTGTCAATCAAAAAAAATTACCCCCCCCCCCAACATATCAGATGTACATGTAAGATACCACCAACCTTTATCATCTGGACTGTGGTGTTGACCAAATTGGTATTGGCAATTGGTAACATGAAGCCTTTTTTTCCTAGCTCTGAAATGCAATTCAAGGCTTTTTAAGCTTGTTTTCGCCCATGGTTAAAAGATTCATGTATCCCATTCATTACAAAAGCATAGGTACAAGTATCTCTTACGATTTAGTTCTGGTTCTACTGTTACCACAACTGCACCTCTAAGAATAAAGTTTACTGTCTGAATCTGGAATAACAACGAAAAAATGACAGGCATAGGGAATATTTACATGTATAAGGCGAAGATTAAAGAACGATAATATAAAGTATTGATGCACATAATCATGTTAAAGTATTACTCTTAACGTACGTTAAAGTCTGTAAGTTTTGGATCAGCCAATATACCCTTTATAAATGGACTGTAAATGTAATAAAATGGTACATGAAAGTATCATCATGTAAAAAACAAATATTCGGAACGAATTATAACATTTTAAAATATGACAACTGTTTCGTGTATTTTATTTACTTTTCAGCTGTTTTGATTCTATTTCTTACACACTAGCAGTAGCACATTTAGAAAAAACTCGGCAAGTATTTATAACAAGAAGCCAATCTGCCGCAACAGACACCTGAGTCACTAAGACCTTGCTGGGTTTTTTTTTTATTATTTATAACAATTTGAGTTTTTAGCAGAGTTTTGTTACTCTGCGGAGTTGAGTTTCCTTAGCGTTCGTGGCACACTTTTTTGAGTCGAAACTCAGGAGAGTAAAATGAAGTTTACTTTACTCAGATTTGAGTTGAGTAAAATAAAATGTTCGTGGCCCCGGGGCCAGAAGATTTTTTTTCCTGTATATTCCCATGTAAAACTTAAATCACTATTTTGATCCGACTTATTCCGAGGGGTTATGATTTGAACAGACTTGAATCTACAATATATCTGACGATGCTTCTATATTTATAGGACTATTCATGCCTTTGCTGTACTTATGAAAAAAAAATCATTGTCTTCTTTTACAAAACTTTCATTGTCCATTGTTGCTCAATCCTACCCCCCGGAATCATGATTTGAACAAACTTGAATCTACGCTATCTGAGAATGCTTCCGTATTCATATGAATAACCAAGCCAGCCTTTGCTGTTCTTGAGAAGATTTTTAAAGATTTTTTTCCCTTTACATGCATATTCCTAGGTAAAACCTTGGTCACCCATTGTGGTCCCACCCTATCCCCCGGGGGGCATAATTTGAACAGACTGCATGGAATCTACGCTAACTGATGAGACTTCCATATTAATATGACTAATCATGCCTTTGCTGTTCTTGAGAAGAAGATATTTAAATATTTTTTTCCTTGTACTTCTAAGGAAAACTTTGATTGTCAATTGTGGCCCCACCCAACCCTCAGGGGTCATGATCTGAACAAATTTGAATCTTTGAAAGTTGAAAATGTAAACATTTTACGACGACAACAGACAAATTTTGATGAGAAAAGCTCACTTGAGCTTTCGGCTCAGATGAATTCAAAATTGGCCATTTCATATTCTTTAGCAAAGCATTAGTAACTTAGTGCAACTGTTTACTTTTTAATCTGATACATGTAACTATCTTAAAAGGAGGCATCGTGTCAATGTATAAAGATTAACCTTAATACGTGTTTACTTCAATAATCGAGAAAGACGTTCAGTACAGTGCTCTTCATTTCGATGTTGAGCAACCGAACTTAATTCATTCGAATATCATTTAAAGAACAGAAATGCTGCCTTAATAAGAGTTCTATTCATACAGAACTTACTCAAATGCGACAATCTCTCCCTGTAGAGTTGTATTAGTGATTGATAATTTGACGCGCAAAGTCACAGACTGAAAAGATGTATATCATGAAAATAACAGAAAGAATTAATTAAAATTTTTATAATTTATCTTTACTTTAATTAAAAACATATATTACGATATAAAATATCAAACTACATATTTGAAATGCATATCTAATCTTACTAGATCTAGTTTTGCAATTCGAGTGGAGCTATGCTTATTCGGATCTCTGATGTCTGCAAACATAACCATTTCCCCGTTCAACACGGCTAAGTTTTTCTCAAATGATACGTTTGGTGTTTTCAAACTATAAATGTCGAGGTCCATGAAACAGTCTTTGTATAGCTCTGCTAACTTTAGTGCATTTGAAAATATTGAATATATATATATATGTATTTGTTGGATTATATTAGACTTACAAAAAATGTTTGGTTTATGCTTGTATTTGATTAAAAGACATGACGTGTAAAATTCAACTCACAGACGGTACTAATCTTCCCACACAAACACCAATGTTGCAAGTAGTGTTCAATCCATGTCCAGGAATCTGAAAATATTATATTGGTTTGTGAAAATTTAAATTTAAGTTTTTTCTACCCCCGTTATGAAAGGGTTTTGGCATATACGAGGGATATCAAAAAGTTCTTGGACTGATGCGATAAAATTACTACCATGTAGTCTAGCTGTGCTTACAAAATTTATAAGGAACATAAATCAACAAAAGTTTAAGAAATGTTGAAAATTTGAGCTTGATAATTTTCCAAATTATTCTAAAATCAAAAAGACATTATATGATCACCCGGCGCTGTCGCCGTTTAGTTTCATGACGTCTGATAACGTCATTGTTTCTCAATATCCGCTCTCTCTGTCTCATACACTTATCTTGATGAGATTACCTGGAGTTAAGTAAACCTGTCTTGTTTATACGACTTTACAATGTCATAAACAACTGCTTTCAATGCATGTTATACTGAATATAGATCTATATACATAGGGAAAGATCCTCACTTGATTATGCCAGAATACTTAATTAGCTTGTTGGAGTTTATTTTCTTCAACACATGATCAACGTCACTTTTCGACGTTACTGACTTTGACACCCTAACTTGCATCTTTCATCTCTCTGAATCTTTTGGGGTATTTAAAACGAGTACTTTGGATGCATTTTATGTTTATGTAGCTCGTTTAAACATTCCCTATGTCTATACCTGTTCTTCTAGTTGCGAAACTTTAAAGAATGTTGGAAAAAGAAACTCCTCCCCCATTTTGGAGCCCTTAATTGTTTGGACGCTCCATATAAAATTTACAATCAAAGTTTATAGAACTTACAGAATAGGGAAAAAATTGCAAATTTTGCGGAATAATTGTGTGATACAACATGCTTGAATTAACGGGATGTTTTGTTGACAAATGCTCATATCAAAAAAGTTTTCCTCAGTTACTCTTAGGTTGAAAAAACGTCCTATTTGAGGTTACGCCGCCTGGACATACCATTGCCTTCAAAAACATTTAAACAATTAAAAAACAAGCATTCTGAGAGTATTGCATAAGCAACACTAGTCCCCTACCGGCAAGTGTGATCTGATTCCCGCTAAAAATTGAAAATGCCATAATGCCGTCAAAAATCAATGAAGCGGAATGAAATGCAAACTTGATCTAAAACTCATCAAGGTAAAGTCACATACAAAAAGTCAGCTCAATATCTGCAAGCGTTTAGAAAAAAAATTGCAGACAGACGGACAGACTCAGAGGAAACCTATAGTCCCCTCCGGTTTCACCGGTAGGGGACTAATAATACTAATGTTTTATAATGGTTTAATTATAGATAGAAAAGATGATGCTAACTAAATGTGTTCTTCCCTGTTTCCTGGGTATTCAGTAAACAAATTAAATGCACAGTTATAATTATGATAAACAAAGGTGCCTCTTACAAATTTGTGAATTCCCTGGACCTTTATTCAGAGGTTCTGATATTAGGGAGGTGTCTATCACTTATATTGTAAAATTGCAACAATTTTATGAAAGTTTTCTTCTCTGCTCCTGGATATCAAGCAGATAAACCAAGTGCATAGTTATGATGAGCAAGGGTGCTTGTTTCAAATTGTGAAATGTGTGGCCCTTGGTCAGGGATTCCTGTGGGGTTGGAGCTCTATTGATTATAATTATAGTAAAAATGCATTATTTCTTTGATAATCTTCTCTTGGGTACATGTATTAAGTAAAGAAACTAAGCATATAGGTATGATGAGCAAGGGTGCTTGCAATGTAGTAAATTTCATGGGCCCTTTCAGGATGTGTTAGGGCGGGGCTCTATTGATTATATAGTTTAAGAACATTAATTCTTCGAAAATCTTCAACTAAATGCATAGCTACGATAAGCAAATGCGCCCTTTCCGGGCCTCATGTTTTTGTTATTTTATACTTCTGTGGATCCTTTTTAGTGTTGAATTATACTCAGGTGACCGTGAAAACCCTTGGGCCTCTTGTTTAGGGACTAAATCTTTTGCTTACTTTATCAGCTGTGACGGTGAAGTGGATTCTTCCATGAAGTTGAAAACCATGAAGGATTGCTTGAATTTCATTTTTAGAAACCCACAAGTACACCATTTTAGAATCATTATGATGTTTCGTAAAGTTACATGATTCAGTGACATAATGTTCCAGGGTTGAATACCAAAACAGATCTCCCTGAAATACAATATCAGAGCAATAGGATATATATTGTAATAGCATTCAAGCAAACATCATTGCTATTTATGTGCATTCTATCAGTAGAACATTATCATGATCAGCAGTCATGCCATTTTTTCATTAAACACTTTTTAAATATAAGTAAATGAAAAGAAGGCACGTTTTTGAAAGAATACAAAAAACCCCAACAACATTGACTTAAAAGCTTTCCTGAGAGAAATTTTAAGAAAAACATACATTGTAACTGAAGAAAGAAGGATGTAAAATATATACAAGCATGCATGACTTGTAATAACTCAACATCAAATTTTCTTCGGCCAAAATAATTATAAAAGTGCTTTATAAGATCAATTTGCTAGTTAAGAAGCAATCCAATTATATATTTATTTACACATGGCAATAGAATTACTTAAATCAATAGATTACTCTTACATTATGATAGGTATCCAGAAATGATGTGTTGTATGTCGGATCCTGGGTCATGCTTAAATTAATCTTGAAGAAGTCGATATTTCCATCGCCAATGTTAGGAAACACTATTAATGCCGAATAATACACTACATTCATAAGATGAGTTTCAATTAAGTTCGTATCAGATGATGTTAAGTATGCTTGTCAGAACTTACAGTCAATGCCCTTTTCCAATTCTTTGCTCAAGAAGTTGTTAATAATGAATGCAATTTTTCCACAGACATCGAACTAAATTAAATTTAAATAGGGGAACATTTAGATATGCAACAGTTTTACAACGGCAGCCATTTTTTAAAAACAAAATAACTGATATTTTGAGAGATTTTACTTACTACATTGATAATTAACATACCCTGACCCTACATTATTTTAGAAATAAATTCTTACTCGCTGCAAGATCTTGTTAAGTCGATGGTTAATTAAGGCTTCCTTAAATTTTAAGGTGCCCTTTTCACACACATGTGGTGGTTCTTTTTTGTGGTCACAATTTGTGTAGTTGATTAACATATCAGACAACGGTATCGAACACCTTTCTCCACTGTTTTCACACATCTTGGCACTAAATTGACCATGTTTGTTCCTCCCTAAATAATTGATTTCATAGGTAAATTTGTTTGCTTGAATTGTAAAAGTCAAAAATACACAGGTAAGAAAATAATACCAAGATAACGGTCTCTCTCAAAACACGTTTAGTTAAAATTAAAAATGTTTTGTTGCATGACATGCCCTCACGTGCATAGTTGTACCGGAACTTTAATTTTTCACCTCGAGATTCGAGCACATTGAGACCTAAGCATGAAAGTATTAACTAACTGAGCGCCTGGCAAAGGAACAGTTGCTACCTATTTTTTATCGACTTAGGTCAGTCGCGGTCGAGATTCAACTCACGCAAGGCCGTGAGTTCAAATCTCGGCCGCGACTGACCTAAGTCGATAAAAAATAGGTAGCTATTCCTTCGTCAGGCGCTCGGCACTTTGAAGAGAAAGTTGCGGGTTCTTCGGATGAGACCTTAATACCCGAGGCCCCGTCTTACGACAGGCGTTGTCACGATAAAGATCCCTCAATGGTCCTGAGTGCTGAGTAAAAGTATAAATTTGAAGCCCTTCGGGACGTAAAACAGTATACAATAAATCAATCAATCAATTAACTAACTCAAAAGTTTTTCTAGGTGATTATATATGCTTGTTTTTTTGGAAGTATTACAGTGGGTCTTGCTTCCATTTCTGCTTTTCTTCAATGTATGAGTTCAGAATGCAAAAATATACGACACTGGCATTTGCAAAATTGCTAATTTCATGTTGCACATTAAGTCCTTTAAACAAATATATAAACGAATTATTATGTTCCCCAAACGGAGTTTGGGAACATATTGTTTTTACTCTGTTTCTTATTATTATTATTATTATTAGGGTCTTCCGTCTTCAGCGGAAGACCCTTCTATTATTCTTATGTTTCTTTTTCACTTTTATTAGGGTCTTCCGTCTTCTGCGGAAGACCCTTCTATTATTCTATTGTTGATTTTTCACTTTTCTTATTATTAGGGTCTTCCGTCTCCAACGGAAGACCCTTCTATTATTCTATTGTTTCTTTTTCACTTTTATTATTATTAGGGTCTTCCGTCTTCTGCGGAAGACCCTTCTAATATCTGCTAGACGTCCCCATTTAGGACTTGAAGGGCCGGCCCTTAATATTTCTTTTGCATATATCCCGAAAACAAAAAAAAGATTTCTGAATAGTTGTTGAACAAAGAGTGTTCAAAATCATGAGAGCTTTAAGATGATATCAAGAAAAAGGGGCTGACCTCTCACATTAGGGGCCAAGAAGGGCCGAAAATCCTTAATCTATAACCCTTTAATAATCAATATTTTGTTAAACATTATTAAAGCAAAATTGTTCGTCTTAACAATTTATTTATATCATTATATTTGAACGAAAATCTCAGTCAAATTCTTATCTCATCTTATCATAAATCGGACGGAAGACCCACTCGTTGCTCGCAACGAGATCTCATCTAGTTAAGGTCTTCCGTCTCCAACGGAAGACCTTATTGTTTTCGTTCGGTTTCTTTTTCCCTATTATTATTAAGGTCTTCCGTCTCCAACGGAAGACCTTATTGTTTTCGTTCGGTTTCTTTTTCCCTATTATTATTAAGGTCTTCCGTCTCCAACGGAAGACCTTATTGTTTTCGTTCGGTTTCTTTTTCCCTATTATTATTATTATTATTCTTTTTTTTCTTACCGATTTTGTGCACGCGAGTTCTCGGAAACGACTCGGTCGACTTTCATGAAACTTTCAGATCTGATAGATATTGATCTGAACCTTATTGAAAATTTTTTATATTGATGACGTCACTTCCGGTCGTGAGATATAGACAATTATCTTATTTTCAGAGGGTTGGCTTGTCCTGGTAATCACTCCAAAACGAATAAAGATATTGAGTTGAGATTCTCAGTGAAGGTAGAGGAGGGATTGTAGATGTGCTTTTTTGCGTCCATATCTTTCCAGCGCAAAAGTCGCCAAAGCTCGCCTGGGCTCGAAAAATAGGCTCACAAGCATCTCGCAAAATTTGACAAGTTTTCTATCATATCTTTATACCTGTAAATATTTTGTTAAAACATATATAACAAAAGTTGTGCAGAATGATAAGTGCTTTCATTTGATATCAAGAAAAGGGGGCTGACCCCTCAAGTTAGGGACTCAGAGGGGCCAAAAGTCTTTCACCTATAACTCTTTAACGATCAATAATTTGTAATACATTACTGAAGCAAAGATGTTTATCTTAACGATTTACAACAATATATGATAAGATTCTGATCATATGTTATGTAATAAGGGGTCAAAAGGGGCCAGAATGCTAAATCTTTGACGCTTTATATCTTGAAGAGTGGGAATATTTTGATAAGCAATACTGAACAAAAGATGGTCAGAATAATGTTCTAAACAATATGCACCCTTTCAATTTTTCTCAAGCGGCCCCATCAAGGACTTGGAGGGGTGGCCCCTAGATATTTCCATTCAGCATATCTTCACAAAGAAAGGAAATCTCTGAATGGTTGTTGAACAAAAAGTCTTCAAAATCACAAAACCTTTCATTTGATATCAAGAAAAAGGGGCTGACCCCTCAAATTAGGGGCTCAGAGGGGCCAAAAGTCTTTCATCTTTAACTCTTTAACGATCAGTTATTTGTAATACATTACTGAAGCAAAGATGTTTATCGTAACGATTTACAACAATATATGATAAGATTCTGATCATATGTTACGTAATAAGGGGTAACAAGGGGCCATAATGCTAAATCTATGACGCTTTATATCTCGAAAAGGGGAAAAATTTTGATCAGCAATACTGAACAAAAGATGGTCAGAATAACGTTCTAAACAATATGCACACTTCCAATTTTTGTCAAAGGGCCCCATTAATGATTTTGGAGGGGTGGCCCCTAAATATTTCCATTCAGCATATCTTCACAACGGAAGGAAATCTCTGAATAGGTCTTGAACAAAAAGTCTTGAAAATCACAAGACCTTTCAATTGATATCAATAAAAAGGAGCTGACCCCTCAAACTAGGGGCTCAGAGGGGCCAGAAGCCTGACATCTATGGCTCTTTGATAATGTTATATAAATCAAAAGAATGAAATCTAATTAGGGAAGTCTATATATTATTATCTTTTAACAAAGTTCATAGTCAAAATCATATCTCATCTTATCGAAAAATCGGACGGAAGACCTACTCGTTGCTCGCAACGAGATCTCATCTAGTTATTATTATTATTATTATTTTTCTTCCAACCGAATTTGTGCACGCGATTTCTCAGAAACGGCTGGGCCGATTTACACCAAACTTTCAGATCTAAAAGATATTCAATTGATCTTGATAGGTTTTTTTGTTTTTTGATGACGTCATTTCCGGTCGTGAGATATTGACGATTTTCTGATTTTCAGAGGGTCGGCTTGTCCTGGAAACTCCTCCTAAACGACTAAAGCTATTGATTTAAGATTTTCAGTGAAGATACAGGAAAGATTGTAGATGTGCAATTGGGCATCTATATCTTTCCAGCTGAAATGGCATTGAAGCTCGCCTGGACTCGAAAAATAGGCTCACAAACATCTCGCAAAATTTGACACGTTTTCTTTTATATCTTTTTACCTGTAAATATTTTGTTAAAACATGCATTACAAAAGATGTGTAAAATGATAAGACCTTTCATTTGATATCAAGAAAAAATGGATGATCCCTCAAATTAGGGGCTCAGAGGGGCCAAAAGTCTTTTATGTATAACTCTTGAAAGATCAATATTTTGTTATAAATTACTGAAGCAAAAATGTTCATCTTTTCGATTTACAACTATATGTTTTAAAATTTTGATCATATGTTACGTAATAATGGGCCACAAGGGGCCAGAATGCTAAATCTTTGACGCTTTATATCTCAAAAAGGGGGAATATTTTGAAAAGCAATATTGAACAAAAGATGTTCAGAATAAAGTTCTAAACAATATGCAACCTTTCAATTTTTGCAAAACGGCCCCATTAAGGACTTGGAGGGCTGGCCCCTAAATATTTCAATTCAGCATATCTCGAAAACGAAAATAGATTTCTGAATAGTTGTTGAACAAAAAATCTTCAAAATCACAAGACCTTTCAATTGATATCAAGAAAAAAGGGCTGATCCCTTAAATTAGGGGCTCAGGGGGGCCAAAAGTCTTTCATGTATAACTTTTGAACGATCAATATTTTGTTATAAATTACTGAAGCAAAAATGTTCATCTCAACAATTTGCAACTATATGTTTTAAAATTTTGATCATATGTTACGTAATAATGGGCCACAAGGGGCCAGAATGCTAAATCTTTGACGCTTTATATCTCAAAAAGGGGGAATATTTTGAACAGCAATATTGAACAAAAGATGTTCAGAATAAAGTTCTAAACAATATGCAACCTTTCAATTTTTGCAAAACGGCCCCATTAAGGATTTGGAGGGCTGGCCCCTAAATATTTCAATTCAGCATATCTCGAAAACAAAAATAGATTTCTGAATAGTTGTTGAACAAAAAAT